GTAGGGCTAATGCCAGTAAAAAACTAATGTAGAAATACAAAATCAAGAAATTCAAAAGAATTATACGGCCTGATAGGTGTAGATCAGTTTACTGTTTAAGATTGGCTAAAGACGGCAACAGACCTGCCTACCCTTTTCGTTGCGAGGGTGTAATTTCAGTACATTTTTGGTGGAATTTCAGAGGTAAAAGCGTAATCAATAATGTTTTCCTATTTTGTTTTCACTATAAATAATACTTTATTTTCTTTCAAAAAAAAAAAAAAACGAAATTGTACATGACTAAAACGACTGGCATAACCTTTTCTTTTTCGAATCATTTATTGGCAAAAAAGTGTGGTAAATACCAGTATCGTATAACAAACTAAATTCAACCGTACACCCTTAATGAAGCATTTGGTCAATTTGTATCAGATCACTTAATTGAAGGCTAGCGTTTGCATGTTTACACAAATCTTATATCATAACATTGTACTTGACCTTTTTAACACTCACATTTCTCTATCTTGTTCTAAGCAATGTGAAAGTAAACTAAATTGAGCATAGAAATGGCTGTACTAATCGCAATCTCATTTAATAGTTAATGTATGTAGTGCCTTCTCGTCTTCTTTCGAATCTTCGCCATACCAGTTTACATGTAACTACTACGTATATTACGTACAATACGAACCGGTCCTCTATTAATTACTTTTATATAAGCTTCATTTCAATTCAGAAGGTCGTACTTTAACTGTAAATTTAGTCGTTCATAACGGATTTTAAACCAAAATATCAAAAGCGTAAAATTAATATAACTGGCGTAATAGCGTAATTATGTGGTAAAAAGCGAAAGAATTACGCCAAAAGCGGAAGGGTAGGCAGGTCTGCGGCAAGCTTTTTTAAAAAGCTCTACTTGTTGAACTATATACTTACAGTAGCCTACTGATGACACCGTCAAATGAATAAGATTTTTTATTAATTTTTAAATATTTTTGAAACGTATCTGAAATTAGTAGACACCTAATAACACTTCCATTTCATATGACTGAGTAATTGGAAATAATTTAATTGGATATATACCACGTATAAAAGATAGACAGAGGAATGGAGGAAATTCGGATTAGAAAAAAAGACGATCGTTTTAAAGATTTCACAAACCATGTATTACTGGTAAATGGATTAGATGAAGGATATTTATGAACAAAAGGACCATGTTTCTTTAATTTATTTAATTGATTGGAATTTTCAAAGCAAAAAACATGGGGTAAGCGTCTGTTTTTAGTTAGGGGACTTGAATGGTTCTGCAGATTTTTAGCCTACTTCGCCACGTGGGCGAACAAGTCATAAATTTTATGAGCCCACAGCAAAATTTACTCATGGTTCCTGTAAGCACTTCTTCTTCGTGTTAGTTGGCTAGTATCAGAAGCAAACGTCATTTCCTTTCATTAGGAAGAAATAAATTTTAAACTAGAAATGGATAATATTCTGGAATGTACTTTATTAGAAGTATGTTTCCGATGATCGATTATGAAAAAATATAATCGATCATCGGGATCGGTAGCATTTTTTCGTGGACAATCGATGTTTTCTGATTATCGGTACAACACTACTTGCCGTGGCCTTCAACTTGACATTTAGATATATCGATGACGTATTGTCAATTAACAATGGTAATTTCAATTCCTACATGTAGGTCGATACGATATATCCTGGTGAGTTCGAGATAAAAGATACCACCGAGTCTGACACATCTGTTTTATACTTGGATATTTTACTTGAAAAAGACATTAATGGTAATCTAACAACCAAGCTCTATGATAAACGTTTCTATCGTCAACTTCCCTTATTATGCAGCAATATACTTTCATCACCTGCATACGAAGATTATATATCTCAGTTGATTCGATACGCAAGAGCATGCTCTACGTATGAACAATTTCTAAAACAAGGTAGATCTATATTATTGATAAACAAGTTGATAAAACAAGAATATTTCGGGAACCTGTGTTGCGTTCTTGATGTCATGAAGGACGGACTCCACTGCTTCAAATGAATAGGGATTTTTTTTATTGATGATTTTGAAGAAAAATCCCCGGTCTTCTGTTTCTTTCTACTGTCTGTAAGAAGAGAATCGATGTGATCTTTGGAGCCTTCATCTCCAGAAACATTTTGCTAACAACAGCAGAAATTCTGTCGTCAATAAATTCTCTGTATTTTCTAAAAAGAGGGAATAACTAGACCAAGAAGATGTTATAGAATGAAGAGGAAGTAAATCCTCGGTGTAGAGCCACTGTCTTGGAGACAAGCAGGGAATTTCTTACAGTCGTACAAGAAATAGAAAAGAAGTGAACGACAGTAGTAATTGTGCAAAGTATACCTTTGAATCGAAATGAATTGTTGTCAAAAAACGTGATAACGTCATTGAATGATGGTACAGTACCCCCTTCCTTGGAATGGTCAGAGCGTGCACCATGTTGGCGTTTGCCATAGAGAATATATACTTTGATAAAAAAAAATCTTGTTCTTCCATTTTCTTTTGCAAAGAACCTTCTGACATATTATTATCTATGCTCAAACAAATACGTTTGTAGTTTAAATTCCTCATGTGTTCCAGTAGGTTCTTATTACACCATTCTAAACTGAATTGACAGAGGAAATATCTGAAATGTCACAATTTGGTATAGACAGTAAAAACGTAAGCACAAGACTGTTTCTTCTGGTAACCCAGTCCCAAATGTTAACTGATGTTAAGACATTTTCTTTTTTATAGTGTTTGAATATCTGAACAATCCGTATAAATATTGGAAATTTTACACTCTACAACTGCTTTCAGCAACTTTTGTAGATCGATTTTGACACTTTGATGCTTTTTATCATTTGTATCATTTCGGATCCTCAACTTTTTCATTAGCTGGCTGTTCAGCGTGGTTTGCACAGCCAGTACACAAGTGAACAGCTCTATCATACAGATTACCAGCTGACTGAAGTGCTTCCACAACACATTTTTTAAATTTGTTTACTGCAAATTTTGTACACTTTTATATTAACGTTGATATTGATATCATCATGTATTTTGCAACCGCACACTGGTGCATGGCATTTTCTGCAAGAGGTCGCAATTTTCACATATTCAATCTTCTTTATACAAAATTACCAATATAACGGGAAAGGGTGCGTATTCTTTTATTTTGCTAAAACATTGAAGCAAGCATTTTTAAATATGTACTTTAACACCAATTTAAAAAGGATTATACGAAGTATATAGTATTACGCAATTCTAATTATCTGATTAAACTTAATTTCTTGACATTCTTTAAAGTACATAAATGTACCTGTATTCAGACAGAATATTTATAATCATACCTTTGAGTAACTGCAAAAAAGGTCATCGACTTTTTTAAATACACATTGAGTACCAATACGCTTGGTTATATGTAATATATTCAAATTTTCAACAATATTTTCATTTAAATTATTCATAAATTTCTTGTAGCGCCATATGAAAGGTACACATCTCGACAATTATATTAATACGACAGACAGGTCAGGTGCATTATTTCTTTTAAAGGATTCAAATAATCATATACAAACTCATGTAACAATCTTTAGAGAATGGAGTAAATCATTGAAGCATTAAGTACATTTTAAATTAGTCTCATTAAATCTCGCATTATTTGATTGGTCGCATCGAAAAGAACATTCAAATTTATTTTGATTTTTTTTATGAATTCATCCTTCCCTCATAATCTCTCTCTGTCAAAACAAGTATTTGTGTTTAAAATGTAAGAAAATATATTGCAGGTTCTAGTGATATTCCCCAAATCAAGATGGAAATTCAAATATTTGTATCCACAAGAAATATAATGTGAAAAAAGAGGAAAGGACGGTCATATTTTAGTATATTTTAATTTTCTACAAAATCCTGTATACATGTAACTGTGACGTGAAAAATGAAAATGATGAATTTTGTATTAATCCTAGTACCAGTAAAGGTCCTATTCTGCAGCTCCAATCGCAAAATTGTGGCGACTCCATTTTAGTGAAAAAAATAATTGAACAAAGGAAGTAAAACAACAATCAAAAACCAACCACTTTAGGTTAGACGGTATTGCGCTTACTCCGTAATCCCTTTCTTCATTTTAGATCTCTATGATACATGTATATTTAAACCGAGTCTTTTATGACGGCATGCATAATTAAGATTAAAGAAATGAATACTGGGGAAAATTCAAGATTAGAAGTCCTCGACAGGGACATTGAGGTCTCTGAGTTAGAAATTTTCGAAAAGGGAAGTGAAACTTCTTAACATAAAATTTAATAAATTCGGTTATATTAAAAATGTATCAATTTTTATGTCAGTTTTTGATTAACATATGCGCAGAAAAATCAGTGAATGAAGTTCGTTTCTATAAAGGACTTGCATGACATGTATATGACGTCAATTTCAATTGCAAGAATTTTTTTCAATATCAATTAATTCGGTCGCATTTAAAATAATTGTCATATTTTGTTTTTGTTTTAGATAATGTGTAAACACTGAATAGAATTCAGATTTCTCTATATGTTGTAGAACTTGACACGTATAATTGTACTCAAATTTTATTCAAAGACTTTCTTTAAATAACAAACAATCAATTCATTCACATTTAAAAAAACATCATAAAACATTTCTTGCATTGCATATTCTCAGATATGGTCAGTATAATTATTTTTTTTAAAAAACTCCACTATACATGTAAAACTCAATTTTAAATTTATTTATTATTTTTCTTTATTGTTCCAACTATCTGATTGGCTCAAACTGGATCACATGATCAAGTATAAAAAGTGTTACGGACTGGATGTTTCTATTTTAAAAATTTATAAACCTGCTGTTTCTAAAATTGGAAATGTTCTATTGTGAAGAAACAATAGTACTGTCGTCACAATAGTCACTTCGTGCTCGGTCGATATGCTTTCTCTAAGGTCTATATATCGAGGGATTGACCTCATCAAAAGTCTATAATTGTATATTAATCTGCTAGTCAACTATTGCTTTGAGCATGTTCACACACGTAAGCATGCGCCTCCCCACAACTTCTGTCGTACCACAATCCGTCGTTCTGCTTTTGTATGGCACAGTTAAGAGTTCCTTTTGAATCATTTGGCTCCCCTGCAGCCCAGTAGGTAACGGACCACGGGCTGTTGTTGTGAATCCATGTCCACCTTCCTTCGGTCACGTGATCTGTACCTCCGAGCCAGATATCGTTTGCTGAAAAAAAGACACAACAGACCTATGATATGTACAAACAACGTCTCATTTACACCTTGGCATATCCTTCCTAGTCTACCGTTAAGCAGGAAGTCCCTCTGTGTCTTTCAACAATTTTCAAAACGTTTCTCCTCCTAGCGTTTTGATCCGAAAATAATATGCATTGATGTCGGATTTTCCCGTTATTTCTTGATCATGTCAATGAGCACACAGCGACCCGTCGGCAGGGGGTGCTCATTCCTCCATGAAATCTGATCCCACATCAATTTTAGAAGTCCGTGTTTGCTCTTCTCTTAATTTGTATACTTTAGCTTTTTAATACTAATTGTTACGCAATTATATACACTCTTGCACCTAAAAACTTTGTTTTTAGCAGTTCGTGTTTGATCTGTTTCAGATTGTATTGCTTTAAATACTGTCCGATTTTTCCAATATTTTATAAGAACACAAGAAGACTTTACTTAGATATATACTTATGTATCGATTTTCCCTCTTTTTGTTTGTAGACTATAGATAATTTCTATTCAGTGTTTTTTTTTTTTTCTCAAGAAACAGATTACTTACTCTGAATATCAATTAAGTTGGTTTTTAACCATTCGTATTCAGCATTGGTTTCTAACGCCAGGAGGTAGGAATTCTGTTCCTCACATTTGATCTGAAATATTGGAAGGAAAATAGCTGCAGAACTGTAGCTCTCCGAAAAATATATATATTGACAGACCGGAGAGCCTCAGTGCCACCCACTGGAAAAACTGTATATTTATTGCGCACAAAAAAGTGCGATGTTTCTCAATTTATTTCTACATTTTTTTAAAACTGTCATATCAAAATTTCACTATCCGTGTGTTCCTAACATATTTTTCAGTTTCCACAACAAAACATTCCTTATAATTGTTTATAATTGTTTATAATAGTCCTCCTGGCCCTGATATTGAGATCATCGAAATTTTCACCTATTTATACTGCCAATTTGGTTTGCAAAATAATTCGGTCCAACGCGCTTCGTAATTATGTAAACTACGAGAGTACTTGATAGAGGAGTAAGGACCTTTTGAAATCTAGCTTTTTTGCATTTGGAAGAAATAATCCAGAACTGAGCGCACTTTTTTGTGCGCAATAAATATACAGTTTTTTCAATGGGTGGCACTGTAGCTCTCCAGTCTGTCCAAAAAAAAAAAAAAATTCGGAGAGCTAAAGTTCTGCAGCTAGAAGGAAAAACACTTTTTTCTCTGTAATCGTTGAACAATGACAAGCATGCACGTAACAACGATCTCAAAAGTAAGCAGGGGAAGGGGGGTTGACTCAAAAAAGTATTGACAATTTAGGGCTACTAAAAGAAACTTTATTGTAGCAAATACCTAACTCAGAAAAAGGTAAGGGGGAGGCTCTGCATTTAAAATGTGTGATATATTAACCAGAGTAACGAAAACAAGAAAAACCGGAAGAGGAAAACGTAAATTCTGCAAAATAACTGAATATGTATCTCCTTCTATATTGAGATTATGCTATATTTTCAGTCATAGTTTTGTAGATTTTAATAGACAGCGTTTGCCGTCGAAGCCGAAGTCATGGCGGGTTTTAATAAACGGTCAATAAATGGCAAAAACATTACACATGTATTAGGTCATCCGTAAAAGTTTAATTATATCATATTGTAAACTGATAAATACACTCACCTTTGATTCTTGAAATGTCAACTTTGTTGGGAATAATTTATAAAAGTGGTTCCCATACCTTAACCAACCTACAGATAATTAAATTTTATGAAATTGAACTCGCAAGTGGAGCGTTTTTAGTATGAATTTTTAACTTCAATCATGTATTACCTCTAATAATTTACAAAATATTCAAATTCATATACAATAAAACCTTGTTGTCTAACTTAAAAATTGACTATCCCAGGCTTCCAGATTATGAGGTTAAAATACATACATGTATTGGATAACTTGAATTAAACTTTATTGTTGACTAAATGTATACCACAGTCTAAGTCTGATTTCCATTGGCCATTATACTGACAGATCAATTGACCGGTTCCTGATTGGCTGTCTGATTCCAAACACTGCACAGACATTCTTCTCTGGAAACCAATGGCGTCCCATCGCTTAAGGCTATTCGTATCTGCACCAGGTATATTGGGAAATCCACAATCTGTTGAATAATCAATATTGCAATTAACTTGCAACAAACATACTCTTATTTTAGGATCGGTAAATGGGGTATATTTTTTAAAACAATTTATGTTTTATGATAAATACCTAAGATTTTGAGAATGTATGTTTGCTTTCCTTAATTTTAAACTTGATAAATAAATATGTTTTTGGGTTCAGGAAAACTTATTTTTGATAATAATTAAATCTCTATAAAAGTTGAGTTCCATTAAAATAGCAATTGCATTTTGTTCGGCTTGATTACTGAAGTGAAAGATGACTGATTTCAGATAAGAACCAGTTTGTATATCGAACAGTATGACGAATATGCATTTAAAAGTTAAATCAATACTATTTATTTCTTCTAAGAATTTAAAATACAATTGTTTCACCTTTTCTAAAGTTTTATTTTTGATAATACATGAACATGTATTTATGAGGTCGAAAAAAAAAACAACTGATCATTGTAATTTATTTTTTTTTTTTATTTATTTATTTTTTTTTTTGGGGGGGGGGGGATTTGTTTTCTTTTTTTTACGCCGGATTGGCAATACAATGTATATCAGCTATATTTCGGATGGACATTGTAGTTTAAATACAGATTGAAATGTATATAAAAGGAAGATATTTGTATACTTAAATTAATTCATGTTTAAATATGAACCTTTCCACACAAACCTCTTCAACGGACTAAATTAAATTTTAAAATGTAAAAATTAATATTTACCTGACAATATACAGACAGTTATCGCGGTAAAAATGGATGTGCATTTCTGATTGATCTCACAGTTAGACGCAGAACAATGTCCATCGGGTTCCTAAAACACATAAACATGTATGTACATTTATATAACTTGAAGATCAGGTTTTATATTTGCTGAGTAGCTATTTTATTTTTGAATGGGGTGGAGTGATGGTAAGAAATTTGTATTCGTCCTTGTTATTTATAAAAAGAGATCGGTCAGCATCCGGAGCCCTTTGGATATTTGCAATTTCTTTATTAATTGTAGCAACATTTCTATACTGGTCAGTTTTCCGTTAAAAAAGTTATTTGATTGAATATAATTACATGTATTGAGAGACTTATTTTTAGGGATGTGCGATTTTATCGGTATACCGGTATATCGCGATTTTTCGTTGCGTGATACATATCGTGATACGGAGACCTAAATACCGGTCTTTAGGCACTTATAATAAAGTCCAGAAATTATTCATTTATTCGTTCAATCTTTCAAATTACAATTACAGAAAGTATAAAAAATGTTGTAAAAAGTGAAAAGAACGGAATCTTACCGTCCAAACATAATTGATTTTATATATATAAAAATTTCAAGATAGTAAACAATTTTTTTCTCGCATATTTTTTTTAGAAAAATAATGACTTTTCGTATAAAATCATTGTTAAAACTGCTTTTAAAAATATCATGATATTAGCGTGATATTGTGGGAAAAAATCGTGATATATCGCAATACGAAATTTTTGGCGATACCCATCCCTATTTATTTTACACTGCATTACCTGATTCCAGTTCTCCTCCCTGTCACTATAGATCCACCCAATACTCCGAATGAATTTATCTGGAGCAGTAACTCTGTTTTCAAAATTTATTTCACAATAATTACCTCCCCTGTAATAACCGACAGATTTACATCTTTTTGTTCTTGCACATTCGCCCATACAATCCAAAATACTGTATCCGGTAAAGGAATTTATCATTGTCTTGTCCAACCTGTAGCCGTGTTGAACCTGCTCTAACCATACCTTCACATTGGCGGTGCACAGTATGTTGAATTCGGTTAAAACATACATTAATTTTAAAAGATTTGGAATAAATCTTGCCATTACGTATACAATGCACTGAAATGTGTGTTGATGCGTGTACTTTTGGCTTCTTTTTTTTTTTTTTTTTTTTTTTTTTTACAAATCAATCAAAGTAGTAAAAGTTTGTGCTAATGTGGAAAACAATTCATGAATTATGAATATTTTCATTATGTTTTTAAATTAAAAAAAAAGTTTGAAGAAAGAGCATTTTAAAAGTCACTTCGGATTATGCGCATTTAGATCAATACTTTTACATTGTAACCACAACGACGTGTAAACTTCTAACAAATGTTCGACCACCGTGCAATGTTTATTCAGTTTGAACCGAATACTTGTCTTTGAAGAAATAGAGGATTTTTTAAATAGATTATAGATTTTTTGCTACCTATTATACGTAAATATAGAGTTAAGTCATGTACATGTATTTTATTAATAAATGATATTTTTTGTTGTTTTTATTAAAAACGTTTATTTATTTATTTTAATACATTCATCAAAGATCTAAAGTTCGCAGACTTCCTGGCCTTCCACTGGAAATTTCGTTTACTCGCCGAAGTTAGAGAATAACAGTGTTAAGAAAATGTTAAATATTAAAACTGATCAAGCCTAGGCTTTTCAGTAGAAAATTTTTATAGATTTTGCAAATATGACCTAATTCAATGTCAGACATGTAAAGTCCTAAGAACAATCGAACTTTTGAGAAAGGTGGATATTTTACACAAATTCTTAAACAGAAAGATTTGTTGGCGAAACTAAAAAGTATTTGGGGGGAAGGCTATAAGAAGTCACACAAATCTATTCATATAGGCATTAACATAACAAAAAATTGTGTACGAAAAGTCCATGATTTCTAGATATTTTCAATTATAAAAAATAGAAAATAAAATCCGCCCACCCGCCCTAATTTTTTTTTAGCAAATTAGGATGAGAATCTAAAGATTAATTTTATCTGGCCTTACCGCAACAGGTTTAATAATTTAATAACAAGGAAAAACATTCTTGAACAAAACAAATTCAATAGCATACACAAAGCACCGCGTTTTCGCAATCCGATAAAAATTAGAAAAATCAAATTGAGACAGATCATAACGAAAAGCAACTGCTTAAATCCTAATAAACGGATTCCCGATTTCATAATAGCAAAACGTGAGACGTATTTTGGAATCGGCATCCGTACAAAATACGGCGAATAAGTAATAGTAAACAGGTCTGCACTTGGAGCTTTTCGGATTGTTCAAACCTCGCACACAAACCTCTATCTTTGCTAGTAAATGGTTTCTGATACGATGCTCCCCACATACACCTCTACAAATTCAATACATGTAACAGTAACGAAACCATGATTTAGATTTTTTTGGATTATATAAGTCGACTTTGTTTAAATGTAGTGATCACTTTGACACAATAATGAACAATGGTATTTGACCTGGCTTTGACTTAGTACTAAAGCAAAAGCTATGATATTTTGATGTGCTATAGTTAAATTAAGAAGTTAACAATTATTCTTTTTTGTATCTTTTTAAAGTGTATTATTTTTTTCTGAGAGAAAAAAAAAATGATATGAAGACATATCAGCTTGAAAAAATTACATCAACAAAGTAGATACATTTGAACAAAACTGTTCCCAATTAACTGATTTTTTAAAGAATATTTAATATTTTAAAGTTTAAAAGACATATTTATTCCAATATGTCTGAGTAAACATATTTTTAACGTTAAAATAATGTCTTAGTACAGTGTATATGAGACATATAAAAATGAACTTAGTCACTAAATCTGAACTCGGTAAATATGCTACCAAATCTTCTTTCTTCAACATAAGAAATCCAATGAAGTTTTAATCTTATTTTTAATGTTGTTGAACAATGTTTATTCTTACATTCTCAGACTGTTATATAAACTTATTACAAAACATTTTAAAAAAGAAGAAAATAGTATCGTGAAAGACTTTTCCAATTTAATTTAAAAATTTTTTTAAAATATACTTACATAAACTTAATACCTTATTATGAACAACAACAAGAATTCATCATACATGTACTTTATTTTAGACCCTGTTTGTCAGTTGTTTGTGTTCAATATTTCTACAGTATTGATACATGTATATACATTTTTTTTTAAATTTATAGTTCACTGATTAGAGTAGATTGTGTCTTCAGTCTCTTCTTCGTGTGTTTCAATATATTCCATTACAGCAGCATGGATCATCTTGTACTCTGTCTGTAAAGACTATTTATTTTTAAATAATGAACGAAAACCATACACCATATAATTTTGTTTTTAACCTTTTCAATTTTAAAGGAGTTTTCCATTTTTTTCTTCTTCGCATAATGATGTAATATTAAACCAACATCGATAATTAAATCTAAAAAGAGATCAAATAAAAAAAAACAATATTTTTTGGAGTAAAAAGAAATTATTTCTCTTTGCAGCTTTCCACCAAGAAGTGCTGGGGTAAAAAAATCACGAGAGGAACGTTAAACAACATACAAACAGAACAATATATTTACCCAAGTAGAGCACAACTCAGGACGCCTTATTTGTAACTGGCGAACAGTGGAGAAGATATCGATTTCTTCATCAATTGACAACTGTTGCAGGACATTATATACAGCACATAACACTCCACACATTGCTGCACCGTCGCTGAATGAGATGATATTTTATCATGTCATTACAAACGTTCAATATATATCGGAATTGGATTGTCATCTGCCTCAATATTTTACTTTTGAATTTTTTATCGCTATTTTCTCTAAATTTACAAATATATTTATGTTGACATGCAGTACACATATTATTCCATAAAATTAATTCTCATTTTTCAAAAGATTTGAAAAAGTATATTGTACGAAAAAGGATTATTAAATCAGAAATCAAGTAATAAACAAAGTACATATACTATCCAAACCCCTAAATAATATAATCAAATATGACAAGAGTTTTGTTAAAATATTGCGTAAGCTATACTTGTCCCCTATTTGCAAGCTTAAGTGTTATCTACTTGACCAATAACTAATCAAAGTCACACACCAAAACATGAACTCCACATAAGCAAACTTTAAGGGGGAGGAGGTTGCGAAAAACCCTTAAAAAATTAAAAAGGTCTTAATTTGTTTATAAATCATTGAACACAAACGCAGGTTTAATCTGTAACTCACCTGATACACTCACATACCAATCCGACAGACTGACGCAAAAGAAACCCTAAAACCACCTCTGGTTTCAATGGTAGGGGAATAATTATTACTTTTTAACAATAAATCACTAAAAAACCCCACTGTGAATACTGTATCCCTTACATTTTCAGAGTTTACATAACTTTGTTTACCCCCAACTGTTAATGAAAGGCCCAGGGGCCACATCGCTCATCTCAGCAACTTGCTAGCTAAAAGCTAAAAATCAGTTCAGTATTGAAAAGTTTAAAAATATTATAAAAGTTGGTTCGAGGGAGAGGGGAGGGGGGGGGTGAACAAACTTAAATCTACCCTTCTTAAGAATGATTTTGACATAATGGCTCTGTTGTTTATTGTAATGATCCATTTTAATGATGCTTTTAAATTATTGATCAATCATTGCTTGATTAAGAATTGTAAAGATTTTTCACATGTATTCCTATGTAAAACTCTGATACCCCATTTTGGACCCACTCTACCCAAGGGGGTCATGATTTGAACAAACTTGAATCTACACTATCCCGAGGATGCTTCCATAGAACTATGAGCAATCACAACTTTGCTGTTCTCAAGAAAAGATTTCGAAAGATTTTTTCTACGTAATCCTACTTTGATTACCCATAGTGGCCCCACCCTTGCCCCAGGGGTCATAATTTGAACAGACTTGTATCTTCACTACCTTGGGATGCTTCCATATTACTATGACCGATCACGGCTATGCTGCCTTTGAGAACAAAATTATTTAAGATTTGATACTATTGTGGCCCCACTCTACCTCCGGGGGGTCATGATTTGAACAGACATGAATCTTCACCACCAAAGGATGCTTTTACAGGAGATTTTAAAAGATTTTTCCCATGTATTAACCATGTATTCCTATGTTAAAATTTAAAATTTGATACCCCACTGTGGCCCCATCCTACATCTGGGGGTCATGATTTGAATAAACATGAATCCTCACTACCAGAGAACGCTTCCACATAAGTTTCTTTTCTCCTGGCCCACTGGTTCTTGAGAAGAAGATTTTTAAAAGATACCATTAATTAATCAGTAATTCATAATAATCTCCCTTTGAAAGAGGGCGCGGCACTTCATTTGAACAAACTTGAATCCCCTTTACCCAAGAATACTTTGTGGTAAGTTTGGTTGAAATTGGCCAACAAATTGAGAAGATGAAAATGTTAAAAGTTTACGACAACGACAGACAACGGATAAATTTTGATCAGAAAAGCTCACTTGAGCCTTCGGCTCAGGTGAGCTAAAAAGTCTAAGATAAAGGGGGTAGGGGAAACTCGGGTTTTGAACATTACCTGCTCATCACTGTGACAGGACCCTCTTTTCCATTTCCTAAGATGATTGAGACCATTTCAAGCAATTGTTTGACACATTGTCCTTGGTTGGACTGAAAGCTGCAGGTAGGCACAACCACCTCAACAGCGTGATATTTTTCTTGCTGAAGTGGGAAAAAGGAACCGAAGAGCGTCAATTATTCATAATACTACAAGACTTCTTGAAAAGTTTCAAAATGATATTTGCTTTTTTGGTAGATCGAACTGGTAAACATTCTAATTGTATTTACATAAAGTAGCCCCTATAAAGATTGTGCAACAGAGAAACACATTTCTGGCAACTGAAAAATCAAGAAAAATATAGAAGCCAATCCACCAAATGTCAGTGGTTCTTATATGTGATGTATAATTACAAATTGTCTCATTCAGAGTTAGAAAAAAAGGCATTTTGCCTATCTTTAAAATATGTCGCTATATACTCACTCCCTTTGTCAAAATATGAATAGTGAAACCCTTAGTGAGATTTGTCAAGTTTCCTTGTTGATACTGAACGGTGAATGGCCCTATACATTTAGATCCACCGGAGTCGGGCAACCATGCTTCGCTCTGAAAACATGTTAAGATTGAACATCAAGCATTCTGAGAGAATTGCAGAAGCAATATATTATGTCTTCTCTCGGGATCTCTTTCTCTTAAGGATGTCATTCATAAGATCCATATGAAAATGTGTCCCCAAAATATATACGGACATTTCGGTATTATACTTTGGTTATGAATTAAATATCATGGAAGAGATTGAACCATAATTTTTTTCTAAGGATAAAACCCCATTCATATCTTATCAGATACGTAACAAATTCATGCTTTGTAGATTTTAAATGTATTTACATACTGATGCAACACCACTCAGAGGGTCCATAGAAATCACAGTATCAGATTCATGATCGACGAGCAGACGCACAAGGTCAACAGCGTCATCTGGTGGTGGATAATGCGTAACAATAAACTTGTGTCTCTGGGTGTATGACTGAAGATAAACATTCAACATAACATCAGAAATATTTCGAAAATTTTCACATTTATGTAATTTTCGTTTTTTTTAAAAATATATTCAAAAGACTTAAATTACAATTTGCAATTTCATACTAAGTCGATACACACGGGGAGAGAAATTGCGTTTATGTAATTCCCACGCTTCCGTACGCTGGATGGCAAAAATAAACTGTACTTGTCCACTAAAATAAATATAAAAAAAATATATCAAGACTCTTTTTGAAAACACCCTTCTTAATTATATGGAATATAAAAGTGAAGCACATGTAAATGACCATTGATCTAAAAATAATGAATCTATGAACAAGGGTATATAAAACACCCTTTAAATCCATGTTGTGAGGTGTCTAGGAAAACAAAGATACCAAAAGAAGGGTACTAACGTGGAAGAATCCGAACATCTCCTCTGTTGAATTGCCTGCTGAGTTTATAATCATCCTCTGTATACAATGGTCGAACTTTTAAAAGATTCTGAAAATAAGATGAGGAAATGCAATATATTTGTGTAGATTGCACTGAGATATAATGCATGCTTATAGGGTGTATATTACCTGAAACTCTTTTCTTAGTTTACTGTGGTTTTCCGGTTTATTTTTCTTCATTTCGTCATTTTCCCCCAAGAATTCAGTTTTCTTCATAAGTTCTGGTGCGGCTTTAAAGGCATGCTCCAGTACCAGGTATA